GGGGGGGGCCGTGAAGGGGGACCGGGCCGGGGCCCTCCCCTCGCCGCGGCTGGTTTTGAGGCCTTGGTCTCGGATGGGTCTCGTTTTCAGCCACTTAGTTTTTTTTTTTTTTTTTTTTTTCCGTGAGCAAGAAAAACTCTAAGACAAAATGCAGGATGTCTTAGGGTGAGAATGTTAGGGGAAAAAAAAAAAAACGACATCAACGCTTCTTTGCTTTAGAAGCACTTTTTGGAAGTGCAGCCCCTTCTGGAGCCGTTTACTCTCTCCACCTCTGCTGCACCATAGCAGCAAAACATGTACTGCTGGGCTTTCTTAGCGTCTTCAAGCCTGTATTTCTAGTTTCAACTTGCTCAGTTATGTTTTGACACTTTTTAAGCACAAGAATCATCTTTCCTCAGTTTAGCCAGACAAAACTAGTAGAAACTGGGGAGGTGGGGGGGAGGGGGAGTTGTAATGATAGAGCCAACAGCAACTTTCAAGCAGTTTAACACTATTTCAGATAGTATTGTCAAACCTGTATATGTGAGGCTCTAATCTCAAGAACGTAGAAGGGCTAGCATGAGATTTTACACTAGTATTAACAAATGGCTCTTACTGGGAGTGGCCTGGCAGTGACAGTATTTTGAGCATCCATGGTAATGGGATATCTGTTTTTTTCTACAACTGAACTGACCTCCTGCCTTTCCACAAGTCTGCCATGCACCTCATTTTGGAAGAGTTTTAGATCCTGCTCCTAATAGCTCCATTCTTGTAAACTGCTAAACGTGTGGCAGAAGACTGAGGGAAGAAGGACAGTTTAATAACAACAGTGAAAACAATGAATACATTTGAACCAAGATAAACTTCTGTATCTATGTTGCTGCTATGAAGAAGAGATGAAATAAATTTCTGCAGAATCTGTAATGAATTGTGCAGAAAATATTAAATTTGATTGTAAAGTGTTAATCGATTTGCAGCTGTAAATTTTCAATAGTGAAAGGATCTTTGTCAAACAGTTGGCTGACCTGGTGAAGACAGCTTTAAACTAGGCATGACAGAGCAGGGAGATGACAACCCATAGCGAAGTGAAGTAGTAGACCAGATTGGCAAGAAAAGGGTGCAGGGTGATGTACCTCCTAATCAACAAAACAGCACTAATGGGGAGGGGGGACACCTGTATGCACACAAATATGGAAGTGCCGAAAAAACAGTATGATGATGGAAACTCTCACACTTTTTCTGGGAAATCAGCACGAGTGGGTGCCTCTCTGAAGCGGCTGTACAGGCACACAGCATGGGGAACAAACAGGAGGATTAGTGTAACTGCACTGTCTGTGTGCAGTTACAGGGCTACATTCTCATTGGGATCACAGAGACATGGTGGGATAACTCACACAACTGTAGTGCTGCGATGAGTGGCTACAGGCTCTTTAGGAAGGACAGGCCGGGACGGTAAGGAGGGGGAGTTGTCCGTTATGTGAGACGACAGTGGGAATGCAGGGAGCTCTGCCTGGGTGAGGGGACAGCTGGAGTTTACAGGTCAGGATTAGTGGGCAGCCCTACGTGGGCAGTGTTGTGGTGGGTGTCTGCTATATACCGTCTGATGAGGAAGAAGTAGATAAAGCCTACTTCAGAGGAAGAAGCCTCACAACAGGCCCTGGTCTTCATGCGGGGCTTTGACTACTCCAGTATCTGCTGGAAGGACAAGGCAGCAGGGCACAAACAACCCAGGAGGTTTTGGAGTGCTTTGATGATAACTTTCTGACACAGATAATTGATGAGTCCACACGGAGAGGTGCTCTGCTGGATCTGATATAAACTTATCAACAACGGAGAACTAGTTGGGGTTGTGACAGTCAGGGGCAGTTTTGGCTGTGGTGACCAAGAGATGGTGGAGTTCAGGATCCTGAGAGAAGGGAATGAGGCAACTAGCAGGATTGCACCCTGGACTTCAGACGAGCAGACTTGAACCTATTCAGAGATCTGCTTGGAAGTGTCCTGTAGGAGACTGACTTGGGGAGAAGAGGGGT